TAAACTTACTGTATTTCACTCAAAGTTCGGTGACGTCTGGAACCGGATGTAGTCCGATCATCGTCAAACCAGGACCCAATCGGTTCGTAGCTTCGTTTCGGCATGCTGGTCCAGGCGGACGTGAAATACAGTAACAATTATACTTAAGTTTTTTAGGTAAAAACCTGTTTGATAATCGAAACACTCATGTGGCATTACACCCGTTCCAGCCGATATAATAAATCATTTTTATTCTAACATTCATTAAATTATTTAGGCCTAATACTCAGGTCTTTATAGGCCCTATAACCGTTTTAACAATATAACTGATAGTTTATTAAAGTTGAGTCCTAAATTTAAGTTTTATATATAATGTAAATATTTTTTTTAATAAATTTTGAATCTATATATTAAATATTACCACTTCTTATCCTTAAGTAATTATTTATTTTGTTTTTCGAATTTTTGCTGCTTTTAAATAAAAACTTACCGTATATTTCTATTTAAAAAGTAATAATAATAATAAAAGAATTTGAATATTATTGTATGCAAAAGTCCGTAATTATAAATTTTATATCTAATATATGTACAGTTATTTTTTCCAGTATTGATGTTTTTTTTATGTTTTTGTGTTGTCTTCATGTTGTTTCTTAGAATCTTTAGTGTACAAAAACAAGTTTCATAATAGGCAAATTTCGCAACCTTACGGAAACGATAACGAATACGTCATTATAATTATGGTCATTCGTGCCTAAAACATTTTTGACAATATATTGTACGAACTGAATAGAAAAAATGAAAGGCATGATTCGTCTACAATTGTGGCAGATATAATACTGTAGAGAAAGGGTTGTCTAAACATTTGATGACGTAACCGTATTCTACATCGTTTTCGTAAGCTTACGAAAACTCTCTAATATCTAATTGCTGCCAAAAACGGTGTGAGTCAGTCAGTGTCATACGGGCAGAAATTTAGATTGCGTTAATTTTTTATTTGAATTATCAAATAATTCTTTGGTTTTTCGTTGCCTTTATTGGCACTATCTACAGTAGCAGGAAAATTGCTCCATGGTACGAGCTACTAGCCTGGTTCTCACGAGAGCCCTAGTATCCGGATCGGCAGCTAACCGTTAGCGCTAACCGTTACCAACTGTATGAGAACGACGGATCGGTTAGCGCTAACCGTTAGCGATATCCGGATACCGCTAACGGTTAGCAAGCGCTGTCGGTTAGCAAGTTGAGCGCGTTATTATCATCAACCAATCACACGTACGCGTTTACAATTTCCATTTTTTTATTGGCCAGTGATTCGATCATCATATTCTTGGTATCCGGATCGGGATCTTCTCGTATGGACGCACGACAGCTAACGGTTTGCTAGCAGGATCCGGATCCTGCTAACCGTTAGCTGCCGTGTTAGAACTTAGTCAGAGTCAGTTCTCACAAGAGCCCAGTATCCGGATCCTGTTAACCGTTAGCTGCCGTGTGAGAAAATAGCCTTAAATGCCGTGTGTAAAGATAGCCACAGTTGTTTTGGGGACTTTAGCAACAATCCATGGGGAGTGAATTAGCGGAGAGGTCTGTAGAGTGCTAGGCCTATGGTAACGCTTCTTTTCGTACTTTTTGTCTACGCAGTAACAATTGAAAATTGTCCTGGGGATCAAACGCTGACTCAACATCGTGCATACTGGGAACCACCGACGGTCGACGGTAATGGAGCAACGTTTACGTTAACTACAACTCACACACCTGGAAGTATATTTCCAGATGGGATCAATATGGTAGAGTACTCTGCTGAGGGTGAAAATGGTGTCGCTGATACATGCATGTTCAGAATAATTATTAATAGTAAGTAATTTTATTTATTTAATCGAATTTATTTCATGGCATTTATTTGCGATTGTTTATGTTTTTCGGCAATTAATAGACGCATAAACAATACCGTTTCAATATTTTTGAATAAGACCATTAAACGAATGAATATTTTTTTTAAAGAAGCATTGTAATGTTTCAGTGTACCTTAATGAACTCGCCAATCAACGTAATAATACCGTAAAACGCCCTTGATGGGTCTTCTTTATTTTTTTACGAAGTTTGGATGGGCTTAGTTTCGAGATGGGCTTCATTTCGGCTTTTGCAAAGTAAAGAGTGGGTGTGGGGTGGGGTTCTTTTCAAATTGAATGCTGTAAATTTTAAAACCAAGCGTGTTTTTAATTTATTTTGTTTCTTTGAAATTCATGTACATTGTCTGTACTGTACTAACTAAAAAAAAAAAAAAAAGTTGAAATCTTCGAAAAGAAGCTTCTTCATGGGCTTCTTTACGAGATTAAGCCGCTTTTCCCACAAAAACAGAAGACATACACAGAAATATTCTTTGAATCTTGCATAAACAAATAGGAAATATCAACTCAAAACAGATCAATAAACAACAGACATCCAATTACAAATAAATAAAATATTTGAAATACACATTAGGGTTAAAATTGAAATTAGTAAAATTTGAAGTCTACTACTCATTCAATTATTTAAATATAATATATTAATTAAAATTATTAATATTATAAAAATTTACAGTAAATTGGATTTGAATATCATAAATACAGAAAATATCACATTGCAGTCCAGAATTATATCAATAAAAGAATAATTTTACCAGTAACAATAAAAGAATAATTTTACCAGTAAATATTAAAATTGCACATAAACACTACTTCACTATATATTATTATATATATTATATCATTATATAATTTTATATATATATGTATATATATAGGGCATATATATGTATATATATAGGGCCTATATATATATACATGTATATACATACATATATACATATGGTAGGCCTATGTTAAATATTGAAATAAGTCATTAATCAATAATTATCATACAAAAGTTACAAACAATTTCCATCTTCAATTACATACTGTAAAAATTATTGCACTTCAATGTCGTTTCTTATATGCATCTTTTCACAGTTAATGTATCTCTATGTACAGTGGCCAAGTACTTAAATTATCAATCTTTTTTTTTTATATACTTTTCACTTCATTGTTTCTCACTTGGGTCATACAGCAAAAGAACACAAAATGTAATGTAATATAGTTTTATTATATTTAAGTCTCAAAGTGCCTGAAGTGTGGACTAGCTCGTACAATAACTTTCCTTTCCCCTAACGGCCAATTGCACTAACGGTGACTTTGTGTCTGAGCTACCCGTTAAACTGGTACCAGTTACTCTTGTCTGTCCACAACAGTGGATGTAGGCCTATGGACCAGATTGAAAACCGGGGTAACTCCCTACAACTACCAGAACCATTGGCGAGCGGGTTCGGTGTTTCGAACCAGCGTCAATATTATGGATGTACATTGGGCTGCCCTGCTTTAACCGTTGGACCATTAGACTCTCTCCATATAGTAACAATAATTTCGAAACCGGAATTTCTTCTCATGATTAGATTGTTTAATCATCATCTTTGTCAAAATCTACTACGTTTTTTTTATCATAATTAGGGTAATCCTGGTAAACAACATCACCATAATATCATCAACAGTGGCGTATCTAGAAATGTCGTGGGTGGTGGGGGAGGTGTACTCGATTATTAAGCGAGGGAAACTAGGTCGCAAAATATAGTGATTTTTAACTAGGCCTACTTGAGCGTGAATTTTGCTTCTGACATTTCAATCGAGGCCGATGTAATGGGTGAAATCTTTCTTGGGTCCCCTCTCCCCCGGCCGCGCGCACACTCCCTAGATACGCTACTTATCAACACCATGATGTTCATCATTGTATGTCTATATTTGTTTATAGTTATTATACTATACTATCAAATTTTATTAAACAATAATAGACGACAATGCTCCAACTATAACCGGTTGCCCCTCAACGGTACATGAAACCGCTGCATCAGGAGCTGAAACTGCCACGGCGACGTGGAATGAGCCTACAGCTGCGAATTCTAGTGGAAGTAACGTACCCTGGACATACAGAACTAGAGCTCCCGGAGACACGTTTCGTGTCGGTACCACGACTGTGTTCTACGAGTTTGTGGATTCTGACGACAACGGCGCCCTTTGTGAATTCACTGTCAATGTATCAGGTACGGTAACTATTGAATTTAATGACGAAGTAAACAGTACCACGAACATACCGATACCGTATACAGTATTATTTCATTGTGTTTCCGAACAATAATGAAACCATATCGTACATAAACTATCAACAAAAAATTTCCTAATCAATTGTTTGAAAATGTGCCGCTGGCTGGAATTACATACAATATCTCCGAGTGTCATACCAATATATATATATA